TCCCGAGGGAGTCCCACTTCGTTGCACCTGGTCAACTTTAGCAATACGCTATGCGAGATCGTGCTATAGCGTCCCATTTTTGTCTTTCTCGACAGACGTCACTAAAAGCATTGTGTGCAGTGTCGGCGCTGACACCCTGCACCTTCAGGCAATTCCTGCATGCTGGCGGTTTATTTGAAAGTCGACTTGGACATTTCTCCCAGGTATGCGGTTCTCCGCAGTGACTGCAGAGGTGATCTTTAGCCTGGCACACTATTTTAGTGTGGCCGTACTCCAGGCATTTGTTGCATTGGACCAGAGGAGACTGGTCAAACACAGGTCTCCTCTGCAATCCTACGTAAATTTTCCCAGCCTCCAGGAATCGCCTGTGAATACTTGGTGACAGCTCCAGCACTGGATGACACTCGTGTTGGTTTCGTGCCTTTTTCCTGTACTTCACCCTTATGGTGCTGTCCTGCATATTGACGTCACCGAGAAGATGTTTGTTTTGAGCTAGTACGTGTTCCACTAGTTCTGTGTCTGTATGGTAGGACAATACATCTGCTATTCGGAGCAGTGGGTTGCTAGCTTTGGCTATTTCAACTTTGAGATCATCCTTTTTCTGGACTTGGCATTGCACCAGCTTCATATCTTCTCTGGTGCCGCAGCTTATGACAACCTTCTGGTTCTTTGCCTTTCTCACCTTTTCCACTTTTGCTCCTGTCTTTTTGCAGTCCAGAGCTACCCTTATCTTTTCAATAACATTGTCTCCTGTGTTTTTGGGATCCGTTGATCTTATGATAAGGGTGTGGTTTGGTCTGGGAACGGATGGTTTGGTTGCCACTTGCGCGTATGTGGGCTGTCGGATTTGTCTGACAATGTCTGCCAATGCCATTTCCGTACGCACACTTGGCGCAGGTGGGGGAGGCGTTCGCTCTTTAAGCTGTCTCATTGTTCGCAGTTCTGATGATACTGCATCCAGTCGCTCGGTGATAGGCTGAAGGTCATTTTTAAGTTGGGGAAGATGGTGTTGCGATGAAGGATCTTTAATATGATCTGCTATTAAGTTGAGAGTTTTTTTTACTCCAACTAGATCCTCCTCAATTTTTTTTTGACTCTCAGTGGTTTTTTCTGTCGGGACACTATGCTCACGGGAACTCAGCCTAACCTGTATCTCCTGACTCATTGTTTGGAGAGTGGTTGTGTTTTCTAGAGTTTTATGTTGACCTCTGCGCAGTTCATCCAGTTGCTGAGACAATGTCTGTACTGTTTGAAGCAACCTGGTCTGCTGTTCTTTCAGAGGCTGGAGTTCTGCTTCTGTCAGAGTTTTTGTAGGCAAGTCTCGAGAGAGGTTCCACTTAGCAACGGTCGCTTTTATTTCTGAAGTGGATTTGAGTATGTCTTCTATCCTCTTGTACGGTTCCAACGTCTCGTAGCCTAGCCAAGAACGAATGGCCTTTGTCTGCTCGAGGTTCGCCGTTAAATCGTTTCGTGCCGATGCTACTTCTGAGGTTAGTTTTTTGGTTACTTCAGCAATTTTTTTGCTATGGGCCCTTTCGATGGCAACAATTTCCCTAGCATGACGTGACCTCTCCCTCTCCAGGCTCAACATATGCCGTGACCGGGAGTCTGAAAGGGCGAGACAGGTCTCGTACAGGGACTGAAGACATTGTATAGCTGTTAACTTGAATTCCCGCTTCATATTCCCGGCAGATTCCAAAGCCGTTTTTCCTCGCTGAAGCTGTTGGTAGGGTTACCTCCATAAGGTTTTTGATGTCTCCTCAATCGTCAAGGGTCACCCTTTCCCACAAAAGGGCTCGAACCCTGAAATTTTTGACCATTCACTTCAAAAGATTTCCACGTCTTAGGCAACTTTTAACAGGATCTCGAATTTTCTCGTCTTTTGTAATGATATTGAAAATTATTTCGTTATGAATACCACTTAGATATCTTATAATGATCACTTATATTATACGTACTATATATCTGTTTTAGCTGAGAAGGAAGACTACCTGAGTAGAAGGGGCAGATTTTTCTTTTCTTTAATTTTTCTGAAATGCTACGACAATTCTATGATATATGATACCTACAAATACCGTGCGATAATTACTATTATACTTAATTTGTTAATAAATTTATCGCCATAAATATACAATATTGTAAAAGAATTCTACAGGAATGTTAAATCACTAAAATCTAGACAAAGAAAACGACTTTTTAGACAAAAAATATAAATTTAATTACGACTCACTAAACAATAGTTAAACCCAACTTAAACAATTGAAAATTATTATTTGTGTAATAACTATCGTTAGACATAATACATTTAAAAAAAATACTCTCGACAATTTTAATAAAAGCCCAAGGACTACTATACGATGTCGCGTTTACACACGCTGCTCATAGTTATGAGTCCCCCTGCGACTCGAAGCTAGTAGAGCTTTTCTCAATACTTATGTGAGTATACTGGCATTTTTAAATAATTGGAAATACATCTTACACTTTTCATTATAAAACCTGAAGAGTTTGTTTGTTTGTTCGAACACGCTGATCTCCGGAACTACTGGTTCGTTTTAAATAATATTGTGTTGGATAGTGCATTTATTGAACATTACATGACCAATACACATAAGAGCCGAGCAGAGTGGGTTCAACCGCGCGAAAGTAGTCAGTAAAAGTTTCATAAAACATTACAACGAATGGAAGCACAAGACAAACAATGGACAAGCACGAATTAACACCGATGGCTCAGAAATTGCTCCTGTTGGCTTTGTAGGCTCTGAGGAATATGCAAACGACTCACCAACGGGATTATAATCTGACGTCCGAGACTTAGCGACAATCGAAAAGTTACAACTGCATGCAAATAAAATGCAGAACAAATTACTGTGATCATTATCTTATCATTTCTTCTTGTTATGTTCTCTGCGTAGATTTTATGTGTATGGAAGATAGTGGTGTCCTTTAAGCTGGTACTATTTCTTTTTTATGAGGCAATTAGGCCTACTTTCCTGAGTCGTAACTCTATTAAAAAAAGATATTATTTATTCCCTTATTCAATAAGATTAACACAAACACCTTTGAAAAGATGGAAGTAATAACTTAATGTAATGCTAATTAATATACATATTTATATTTAGGAATAAATTAAATTGGTATCTCAATGAAAATTCGCAATGAATTCCTATATCTGTATAGTAAGTATTGTGGAAAAATATATATTTAAATTTTTAACGACTATTTCTACCATCAGCTTTTAAATATCTATCGTCAAATGGCTGTTAAAATTAAAACCGATTATTATAAGAAACAAAAAGCTATTCAAGTCCAATTTAGTGGTTAATAAGATTAATGAACGTTGTTAATATGTCTCCTTGGGATCAAAGGAACAAGATATCGTCAGCGAACTTAATCTGTATAAATACATAAATCATACTATTATTATAAATGTGAAAGCCTTTGTTTGGATGTTTGTCTGTCAATCACGCTGAAACTACTGAACAGATTTTGATGAAATTTGGTATAGAGGCAGGGTATGAGTTTGACTTTTGGTAGAATACTTTATCTCGTTTAAATGCTCCCATGGGATAAAACAGGCATCATATTCTACGCGGACGAAATCGCGAGTAAAAGCTAGTAACAAAAAAACTAATCTCTGACTAAACAAATAACTGCATCAACTTGGATAATTCCAATTTTTGTCAGTATTGGGCTAAAGTTTGTACAAAGCAAAAAAAAACAATACAAATACTCCGAGAACGCTAGGGTACAAGACCGGGCCGGGCTGCCAGTTCTAAATAAAAAAAAAAACGCCGTCCAAACAAACGTCGCAATTATTGCCTTACAAATAAACTTGTTCGTAGTTTACCAGTCAGCACGGCTCGTTTCCGGCAACCGATCTAGTTACCAATCAGGTGTACGAGTTGTTTCCTAGTTTGTATATATCAGGAAACTCATTTCGACGTAATGTGTGCATGTTCTATCTATTTAAACTGTATAAGACGATTAAAGTGAAGCCGTACTCATCTCGTACGTCTCTAACGCCAGGTATTTCGAAATTAAATTTCAAATCTTTGCACTAAGTCTGTCTTCAGTGTTGGCTTCATATTTGAACATGGAACTTGCAGCGTAATTATTCATAACTTCGTTTCTTTCTGCACACTTGAGACTTCCACGATAAGTACAGCGTCATGTGTCAACAAATCTAATTCCTCTAATGAACGTCATGAATGATAGATTGTTGTTGATGTGATGGCGCTCTATACTTGGAATAAAGTTGGCGACACAGTTCGATAAGCTTCCCGCGCCAGCGCTCAACCCTTACCTTCTATTTGATTTCTGAAAACGTGGGCCCAAGATAGGCTTTTTCCTGTGTCGTAGTTATATATTATTGTGTTCACATACGCGTCACATCGAAACCGGAACAAATTTTTTTGGATCACACATGAATTTCCCCGTTTAAGTTAGGAACACGTTGCACAGACATCATTCACCCTTTTATTGCCTCAACCGTACAGTTTAACCACAAATATTCGAAATTTCAATCGCTTCTGTCTCTGCACTGGTTGGGAGCCGCTCTGCATCCCATTCAGTGCCACTAATTTACTTTTAGACGCCTGATGTCAAATTAATGGCACTGCAGCGAATTTCAACTGCTAAAGCGAACCATAGTAAATACCCGCCATTAAAAAAGTCTCCTGGCCCAAGTTTAGTATCGGATTGGTGTGAAGTTTGTTTATAATTGTTAACGACATCTGCAATGTAACATGTGGTGGTAGCTTTTTGCGAGTGAGCGGCGTACTGCAGAAAGCGTAGATATAGTCGAAGTGACGTAGTCACCCCCAAAGTGGTCTAGGTTCTTTGTGCGGGTCGGATCCGCGCTTGAGGGCGAGCTGAACGCAAGAATGCGGCGTGCGTGCGGGCGGTAGCGCGGTAGGAGTGCGGGGCGCGCGGCGCGCTAGGGGGATGCGTCGCGGTGGCGCGGGGCAGCGCGGATGGGCGCGTGCCGCAGTAGCGTGGAGGCGCCGCCGCGGCCGCTCGGCATAGTCGCCACAGCACGGCGTCCAGACGCCGCCCGATGCGAGCGCGGACCATCGTCGCGCAATCGGCTCCGTCGCGCCAACTGTTCCGAAAAGCCAGTTTCAACTTCCCGGTGGTGCGGTTCCCGCGTATCGTATGCTGACAGCCGTCATGTAGACGATAGTTAAGCGCGTATAAATTGTCGTTCTCGTTACTGCAAAGAGCGAATACAATTTCGGCAAAGTTGAATGAAGTAATTTTTCAAGATCCGAGTTTGGGTGGACAAAGCCGAGCTGCAGAAGCCGGCCGTCATTGTTGCGCTCCTGCCTTCCCTCATTACCGGAAACCTTGCTTTCTTGTACTGTTTTCATTTCAAATCTTACAGTTTTTCCAAGGTTGGTGACATTGTTTCGCATTTGCGAATTCGAACAGCCGAAATTATTGTGCCAAATATCCAGCGCCAAAGTTATATAAATGGAAATGGTCTCCAAATTACCATGTTCCATGAACATTAGATTACTGTTTGCGGTTGGAAAATGGGTACAAAGTCCCAGTGGATTTATATAGAACAGGGTGACGTGTGCTTTAATTTTTAAGTTTAGACTGAAGGGTATTAAGTAAGGCACCGCACGGGGATCGAAGCCGGTGTTGTGGCTCAGTGACACACCATTTATTTAAACAATTTGTTATATTAAATATAGTTTGCGGTAGTATTTGAAATGCCGCCAAGATTTCGGTAGAAAGCACCATCCACAAATATTAATGTCAGTAAATGCGCCATTAAAGCAAAGATAGCCCCTAACGTCACTATTTAACCTACATTTTAAAATGTCCTTTTTATTATTAAAGTAAACTGGCAATTGATTTCCGTTCAGGACGTTATTTAATTCAACAATTATTGAATAAGGAGACACGATGCATTCTGTGTGTCGTCCAATAATAATAATGTGTATTTTATAATTCGAAGCATTAAGGAGACGTTGCGTTATTATTTTTCTATAATAATACTAATTGCTTCCCCATATAAATAAATGCAGATTAAAACCATACATTTTACGTAACATTCTACGCTCCACGTAATATTTTCAATCGTGAGAACTTCTAAATTGTTTTAAAATTTTGTGATCATTTTTGCTTTGAAAGTTCACAGTATTGTATGTGGTATAATTATAATTTCAAATTAAATTATATTTATTTATCAATTGCGAATTTTTTTATGGCTTTGTTTTTTTTTTCGTGGTTATTTCTTTCCTCTTAACAGGTTTAATGTATCGGGTGCTAACCTAGCTGTAAGCAGAAGGTCATAAATCTTCTAGATTTGTCTTGATCTGGTAAAATGAAAGCTATAAACTAAAATAAGCCATGCGTATGTACCATATACGCTATGTATACTGTGCTTATGTGCATAGTCATATATTACGTTGACACTTAGAGCCTGGATAAAATTGGCCTAGCAGGACTAAAAATAAGTTCCGGGTAACTTGAAACAGACTAGAATGTATAATACTAACTTAACCTAACCCAGAAGTCAGTGTTTATCACCACATATCTGCAAGAACGAATCTATTTATTACTTTTAATGTATTTAACTACAAAAAAAAATAGATGCAAGAGGAATCCTATTGTTAATAAAAGAACAATAATGTTATCAAACAAGTCATAAACTAAAAGTAATCAACATTAATTTACTACTACTTCAATAATATTAATGAAAATTAAAATGAAAATATTTATTTGTAAACATAGGTAATAATCTGATTTAAATACTTATATTAAAATTTTATTGACGCTAAACTAGAGATATAGGAACCGTAACAAAAACCAAGCCATAAAAATACGTAAATTTAAAAATAAGTTTCAAAGATAATCGCAAAATAAGTTTCCTAGGAAACTACGTATATACCGTCTTCCTAATATGTAAAATAAAATTCATCCAAAATAATTATGCGGTACTGTTCAGAATATACCAATATTTATAATAAAAAAAACTTCCAAAAATCAAGTTTAACAAAAACTGAGATTGTTCCAAAAAATCTCTTTATTATAAAGTAAAGAAAAAGTTGTTTGTCTTTTATATTTCACTGCTTCGACAAAAGATCTGTAAGAATACTTTTGTAACATTTAAAAGTAATAAATTATAAGTTGGAAATATCAGAGGAAGTTATACCAATCGTTTAGTTAAACAAAACAGTCAAGTTAGAAAAATTCAAACAAAATAATTAAAATAAAATTAAGTACCATCACGTCAAACAGTTTAGTAACTTTAGGGCCGATATTTCAATCATCAGTTAATTTTTAACTATAGAATAAAATTGACAACTGACGGTTTTTAGTATTGAAGAACTGTCAAATATTTCAAGTTATTCCTTAGTTAAAACTTATATGGCGTTGCAAAATTCGGCCCTAAATGACCTAACTAGGGCTAACTTTTCATTAATCAGTTAATTTTTAACTGTAGAACAAAATTGCCAGTTAACAGTATGGAAAAATTATCAAATATGCATACTTATTCCTCTGACAAAATTTAACTGGCGTTGAAGAAATTGGCCCTAAATAAATTATTACCAAATAATCATAATCATAATTTAACATCATATCGATACAAAACGTATCAAAACTATTCCAGTTGTCCAAACAACAATTCAATTTAAAGACATAATTAAGACGCAACATATAAAATGTATTTCTTCACACAACACACGAAAATCAAAAAGCAACAAAGAAAATTCTTATTCATAAAACAAAAATTGAACAATTGAGAGGTCTCAAGAACTGGGACCGTGATGTGATAACGCTTTAATGAAGCTTAAAGATTAAAACAGACAATGGATTTGCTCACAAAATGATATTCCATTTTATAAAGCAAAGCGCATTTATAATAAATTTTCAGAATACTTGACAATATTTAGCTATGCATTTGTTCTGTACCACTTATTGGAGAGTAAACAAAAAAGAGAAAGATTCAAAAACAATTTTGAGCGATTAGTATGTTGACTCTATGGCTTACCTCTCCTACTTGTTTTCTTTTCGTAAATCACACTGGTTGAAGTTATGCTTTTCTTGTAACTAGGGAATGAATTATAAGAATAGAGATGTGTCATCTATATGAGCTATATCATTTTTCTCCAACATAATCTGCATTAATGGTCACGCAAATGTTCAATCACCTTTAGCTACCAATTATATACTTGATCTACTCAAGTTCAAGCCCAAAAATATTTACATAAAAGCCAAATTTAAAATTTTTACCAAAAATGTCGATGCTACAGTTTACAGAAAGTATAACAACGGTTTACCTTAACAGAATATAAAAGTATCTATAATAAGTACCGAGTAATTGGATTGTCGAAATTAGCATAGCACTCGTCGGTAAAATATTGACATTCAGCCGCGACTGATAAGTCTTCAACTCGGCAACGATTTAAAAGAAAAATGATACTTGACTATGAAAATTATACACGCTGTTTCTAGTCTTTATATATTTACATTTTAACGTTAATATTTATACTCAATGACCGTTTTTATCCTTTTTCAGGAGAGTATAAGAACTTTTCATCGTCGATTCTCAAAACTGATTATCTATAAAAAACTGTACCTCGCATTGAATATAGACTGTAGTTTAAAACTAAATTACAGTCCATATTTTTAATAAAGAAAAAGTCACCAATCTAATATGTAGTTATGCATGCATGACTTACATAGAACAAAACATTGAAGTATTACTGAACAGACAAAAACACAGAAAACTGTTCAATCCCTCGCGTCCGAACAGGTTACAGATAAATAAAAAATGTAGGTGTATAAACTTGGACACTTATAAAACATTTATTGAACCTTTTAAGCCATAAATAACTTGGTTTTTTCACTCGACGTAATATCAACAAGGACGTCACTATTGCGGGACAATATCAATTTATATTACTACGTAAAATAAAATATTGGCTGAGGTACACAGAACGTGGGTTCTGTTGTAAAATTAACATAAGAACACCACAATATTCCATAGATTGTTTTAATGTTTTAGACGGTATGTTTAATAAAAAATAGACATAGATAGGGAAGACTTCATATTTTAGACAAGAATTTTAGAAGCTCCGGACATAGTTAAATTGTTTCATTAACATAATCACCGGGAAATTCAGTTCGAGCAAAGCCAGGTCGAGCCACTAATCAATAAAGACAAAAAGCACAAATGAAACAGTTTTCCAAAACCGACCTTGCATAAATAATTTCTCTCTTAAATCCGATAATGCGGATCTTCTGTGTAAAATCGTAAAAGTATCCAAGTAGGGTTTAATAGTAAAACTTTTTAACGATCGTTTAAATAACTTATTATTCTTCAGACATTTTGGAAAAGCCATTAATTCGACAATGTAGTTTAAATCAGGAACATTTTTCATACAGAAATGCGTTCGTATTTGAAAATAATAATATAATTTCCAAATTACTTTCTGAGCTTTTTCTATTAAATAGTCATATAAAATTGAATGTTGAATCTCACACACCTGCCAACGTCCAAAAAACTGGAGGCACAAAGTTTTATCACCTATATAATGTAGTTCTTTGAATATAAGAGACATAAAGACGAGACTGCGTCAATGACAAAATCGTATTCAAAGTAATACAGGAATAGACAACACATAGAAATAGAATAATTTATGAAAAATAAACTGTTTCCAGTCTCCAAGTGAGACATTTAGGTGAAAATGTATGGTTTCTATATATAAAATGAATATAATTATAGATTCGGGGTACGCAACGCTGGGATATTGCAATACATTTGTACCGGTGACATTAATTAAGACGCTGGAATTATGAGTTAGAGGTAAAACTAATTTTAATCGTCAATCTTATATAGTACATATCATTTATAAGACAGGATCACCTGATTGCCAATCAGCGCCACCTACGGGCAATCGTAACACCAAAAAGTTACAAATACGTTGCTATTTAGGCGTTTGGGATTTGAAAATTGGGGGATTCGGTACAGACGGAGATTAAGTCTCCAGTACATATGAACTTACAACAAAAAACGATTCAAAATTAAAATTTAGTTTTATGACCAACAAATTCGGTAAAGAAGTAACACCTAGAAAAAATTAAGAAAAAGATTCGTTAGAAAACGTTGCTGACACAGGCGAAAGCCGTTGGCAA